TCTCTCTCTCTCTCTCTCTCTCTCTTCTCTCTCTAAAATTTCACTTTCTTCCTCTTTATGAAAATTTTCACCCCCTGCCCCTATTTATAGGCAATCTGACGCACCCGGAACGGCCCGTACTGATTTCGGAAATCTGGGCAAAATTTGTAACTGGAACGGCCCGTTCCAAAATCGAAACGGCCCGTTCCCAAAAAACCAGAACGGCCCGTTCTGAAACCAGAACGGCCCGTTCTCAATCTCAGCAGAACGGCCCGTTCTCCTTCCGGAACGGCCCGTTCTCCATACCGGAACGGCCCGTTCCAAGGCCGTTCTGGGACTACAAAAACCTCACATTTTCAACATTTGGAACGGCCCGTTCCACTTTTGGAACGGCCCGTTCCGAAACCCAAAATACCCCTATAACTTTATTAAAATTACGAAAATGCCATTAAAAAAAATAATAATAATAAAAATTTGGGTGTTACACCGTGTACACTAAAGTTGAGGTTAAATATGTTAAAGATACTGAATATCAAAGATTTTATGGTACATTGGTTGATGTAGTACCTAGTAAAGCAATTGGATATTTACGAAAATTTTCTTCAAATGATCAAGATGCAAAGAAAGATGTTGCGTTGTCTTTGATTCAACAATTTTTAGTGGTCAAAGGAAAAAAAATGTAAGACTTGAACTATTATAGCATGTTATAAGTTCAAAAAGATCTACAAAAAATTATTCATGATAAGCTGGAATTACAAATAGAGGCTGTAATGTTAAAAAAACTTTTCAAATTGTGTGACTCACACTAGTAGGGATGGGAATAGGCATGTTTAGGCCAAACTTTGAATATATAGGCTGAGCTTGTCCAACAAAAGTAAAGCTTAAGCTTGACCTTCTATCTATCATGGGCTTTTTTCTTATTGGCTTGGTCTTCTTTTTAAAGTCTATTATGACCTATTAGCCTTTTTTTTTTAATAATGTTAATTAGACTAATAAACTTAATTTTTAAAAAGTCAACAATTTTATTTTTAAAATATAGTTTACTCAATATTATTAAAATTTAAATTTTAAAAAAAATATAGAAGAAAAAGTGAATCATTTTCTGTTGAATGGACAATCCATGTGTAGCCATGTATATTGATATACACTGACGCAGAGATTGTAAGCTTATAAACCTATAATGAAAAAAATAAGTGTTAAAAAAATTTAAATATTAATAATTTATTTTTTATTTATAAATTTATTTGTATATTTATATTTTTAATAATATATATTATTATATTATATAAATAAATAAACTGGCCTAACACAGACTTTTTTATAAGTTTAAATCATGTCTTTTTATATAAATACTTTTTTAAAAGTCTAAACTTGATAAAAAGGTCGGGTGATATCACGCTATAAAGAGGATAAGTGATAGATCTTTGTTTAAAGTCACGCTTATTTCCATCTCTACTTCCTTTACACTTAAATGTTTTATACTTTCTGTCCGTACAAAATCAAGAAATCAAAAATAAACTCTAGTAGCCATACCTACACATGCTATTTTCTTTCATTTTTTGTTTTGGTTATTTAGAATATTCCAAATGGGATATATGGAATATTTAGATTTGTGTTGTAACACCATGTTTTCTTAATTATGTATATTTGAGATATATGTAATTAAGTATTTTATTTTGTGTTGTTTTGTTGTTGTAGCTTAAGTATATAACAGTTGATCTGGGAGGGTTGAGGCGAATTCTAAAAAATGAATTTCATAAGTTCACAATTCTAGAATTTTAGAAAGAAATTAGAAATAGATGTTTTGGGGTCACTGAAGTTCAATCATCAATATGATTTCCCTAGGAGAATCCTTTTCTTCCCATGTTGGTTAGTTAGCATAGTAGAAGTTGAGGAGTTGAGAATCTAACTAGGTGTCGAGCTTTCGAGGTTAGCTTAAAGTCATTTCTTCTTCTTCTTCTTCCTTCTTCCTTACTATGAATATGAGGCAAGAGAAGTTAAAACTTAGATCTTTGACAGATTGATGAGTTGTAGGTGCCTTGAATTTGTTTAATGCATAATTGTGTGAATGATTTAGAGGTGTAGATTATTGTTTGTTGAATTTGGGTGGTTTGAGTTCATGAAGGTGAATCTTGGTGATTTATTTGAGTTGTTGCATGTAGCCTTTTTGGTGAAAATTGAATTGTGGATGATGTATATAAGCGTTATCTTGTTTTGCATGCTTGTGAATTTCTATTTTTTAGGTGGTTTAAGCCAAAATTGTAAGTCTGCAAGTGCAAAACTCAACATCTCATCAGGTGTGGCTCAAATTAGAGGTCTTTATCTTACTCACGTCAAATTTAGGATTGGTAGCATCGGGTATAAGAAAGAGAATAGTCTTTGACTTGGTCATGCCCGACATGATTGAAATGGTGTCAAGCATGAGATGAAAGAATTGGCTTTGTTTAGACTGACATCAGGGTGCCAAAGTAGTGGCGTTAGATGTGAGGAGAGAGAATCATCTCAAGTTGGTTTGGGATCGAGCATGGGACCTTTCCACACCAAGCGCAAAGGCCAAGGGGTTCACCACTTAATCCATGCCGATAGTGAGTTGTATAACATCGAGCGTGGATGAGACAATGAGCTCCTTGCCTCAATGGTGTTAGGCATTAGGTGTGTGGTGTCGGGCATGAGTTGCTCGATGATATCTTATTGTTTGATGAATTAAATGGTGAACATGGAAAGGTTAGGTGAACATATTGCACATTGTATGTTGATTGGTGGTAATTGTTCTATATTTGTTGATTAGGGATAACATATGTAGATGATTATATGGTTGGATTGTTGAGATGCAATGGTATGCCACAGATAGATTTATATTGATTTTTGAGATGCATTTGTATGGTTGGATTGTTGAGGTGTTGATGTTCAGTGTTATAGGCATTTAGGCATATTGATTGACTTAGGACTAGAGAAGTGTATGCTTTTGAAAGTTGGATATCCCATTATGAGGATATCGATGTGACGATCTAAAAGGCTAGTTGTTGAAAAACTCTTTGAGTAGGTGTTAAACTCTTGGAGTGGATTGATGAGTCTCCTTTGAATCCTTATTCAATATTGGAGTAAGATATGAAGTAGAGAGCTATAATCCTTAACTGATTATTAGAGGGTTGTGTGGTACCGCAATGATAGTTTTCTAAGTTATAATTCATAAAGGATTTGGTTAATGCATGTCAATGTTGTGGTGAACTCATACCCAAGCTATGTTATATCTGGCAGTGGTATTGGATTTTTCTAGTTCAAGTGGTGACATATAAGAAATTAGAAGATAGGGGTTAATATCCTGATTTAGTTGTTGATATAACAGGTGTGTAAGGCGTGAAAATGATCAGGTTGGTTCAACAGGACCAATCCACTTAGATTGTTCATATTGGTGTAAGAGATCTTTATAAGTAAATGTGTGATAACACATTAGTTGAGGCGTAAGCATTTGACATGTTGTTTTGGTGTATTCATATGTTTCACTAATTGATTGTTGAATGGCATTGATGTGGTGAAATATGATGTATCATATATGTTGTTGAGTTGTTTACTCTTGTAAGGTGTTGAATGTCATGTTGAGTTGTTTGTTGTATTGATATTTGGTAGACTATACAGTATTTATTGTATGGTTTACATATTAGTGTTGTTAGTATAGTTGTATATATTTTCTTCTATACTTGGTATGTTGATATACATTGTTGTTTTTAACCTAAGTTGTTTTAGTTGTATTATGTCACATGTATCAATTTATATGTGGTGTTGGGTATATACTATGTCGCTTTGAGGAAAAGTTAAAAGATTTTGTAGTGTTACCTATGTGCCATTTTGAGATGGTGGTGAAGGTATGATTATGTTGTAAGTTGAAAACATGTTGTCCAGTGTAGTTAAATTGTAATATAGTTAATAATTCTTTCATAATTAGTTAAAGTGTAATAAAGACAAACACCATCACTTTGAAATGCAATATTTTCATTTGACAATATGAACTATAATCTATCATTTAACGATCAAAACAAGCTGCCATTGAATCTCATATCATGTATGATTGGGCTTGAATATCCTCAATAATAATGAAAATGTCAATAATTAAAAACTTCAAATCTTAAACAAAATCATTAAACATAAATTTGACGTCATTATCTTAGATTATCTTGAATGGTGTATATTGGTAGCAACCATTTTAAATTCATATAGGACATCAATATTAAATTTGGGATACTCGTTTGCAATCAACTTTGATTATCCTTTGTTGTATAACATGCCACAACTCAAGAAGTGTCATGTGTGCCCTTAGCTCGATTAATCTTTCATTATGATTTTCATTCATAACATAGTCAATATTGTCCTCTATTTGAATGATTTCCACATCGCTATAAACAACTCCAAAAACTATTGGAACTCATATTTTAAAGAAAGTTTGTAAATTGTATTTAAAAGTGATGAATATAGGTGTGTGAAATGAACTAACAAATATATATATATATATATATATATATATATATATATATATGCACTAGTGATGAGAAATATTTCTTAAATTTG